CCACCTCCCTCATGAATTTTATTCATAAACATGACCTAAGTTTAAAATTTCATGAGTGGATCTCCCAAAATTAGGGAATTTAAAATATATGTAATTTTAAAATAATTTAAAATACATATATTAAATAAATTAATTTAGAGAACAATGTAATTAGAAATGATCCAATATTCATACACATGAGAGATCCACTAGTCAAGCAAAGATAGGTTTCAAAATGATTGTTTAAAAATAAGTTCTAATCTAAAAATAATTATTACATTAATTATTTAAATAATATTCAAATATCCAAATAATTAAGTATTACAAAAATATACCATAAAAATATGATTTGATATATGAAATTATTTTTAAAATAAAATACATATTTTCTGAAAAATTCAAGGTATTATACGCAAAAATATAATTTAACATGAATTTAATAAAATAATTTGTTAATTTAATAAAATAATTAGATTTTAAAATTAAGTAATTAATAACTAAGTACATAAATATTTAATAATTAAATAATTAAAATTTATTTAAAATAAAATTTTAAGCATAATTTTAAAATTAAGTAATTGAAAGTATATATATATATATATATAAATAAACATAAATAATAAAAATAATAAAAATAATAATGAAATTTGTTTAATAATAATAGTAATAATTATTGGTAATTAAAATAATTTAATAATAATAATAATAAAATTATAATTTTCTTCTTTTTAATTTAAATATTATTATATTACCATATATTTTATTTAAAAAAATCTTATTATTTGTAATTATTTATTAATTAAATTTAAGAGCTAATTAAAAATTAATATAACTTAATCTGTAATTAATATGATAAAATAATTATATTTTTAAATTATAGAAAATATTTTTTTAAAAAAATTGATATATAATACGAATATTTTTTATTTAAAAAATAATTTTTGAATTATTTTTACATTTTTCCAATTTTAAAAAGCATTTAAAATTAATTTTAAACTTTATTTAAATAAAACGGTGACTGGCGGCAGCACGGATGACGTGGCAGCCTCAGGTTGGCCCATTCAAACCACTATGGCGATGCCTAATCATTGGCAATGATTGGTTCTGCCACCAATCATTGGCAATGATTGGGGCCGCCACAATCATTGCGTGCTAATTAAAAGGGAGACGGGACCCATATGCTTCTGACTTAATACAGTTAGTATGTCCCACTACCATTGGATGCCCCACGTTTCGAATCAGTTAGCGCGTAATGATTGGTCAATTAATTGGTCCGAACGGTAACTCAAACTGAGGGCATCGTATATTAAGTAAAGTATGTGCGCGGAACAACGAGCCTCGAACCATTAATTGCGAGATCAATGGTCCAGAATTCCTCTTGCCCATGCAAGAGTCCAACCCGAAACCCTAAAGCGATAATTGTTTTATTCTCATGATTGGATCAACCAAATGATACAAAATTTTAAATGTAGGATCCACACACGAAGAGCATTCATGAGGGAAAAATTTGAAGTCTCAAAATGCACTAGATGAAAATCTATTTAGATCTAAGTGTCTTAGGCTAGGATTAGCATTATACCTCAATGAAATGATTGGATTCATGAGATCTCTATACGATTGAGCTTGTAAATTATCCTTGTATAATTTCCTAGTTGAAACCATGATCAAACGAGGTCTTGATTGAAAAGAAATCTCTTGGTAACATATTGGTCTTTGATTAAGTGGAAGATTGTCGTCGGCGATCTTTGACCGGTGGATTCGATTAGAAGAAGATAGAGGGATGCTAGGGGATCTCACACACAAGAAGTCTCGTGTTGAGAGCCATTAGAGAGAGAGTAAGAGCAAGAGAGTGACTAAAGGAACCCTAAACACCCTATTTATAGCCTTATAGTCATTATGGATTGTTGGGATTGATCCTCAGGCTAATTAGGAGGGAAGTAGGCTTAATTAGCATGGGATTTGGGCTTAGGGAGGATTAGGAAATGATTTGAAGGCAATAAAGGGCTCAATTTGACCAAATTAGGTCAAATTTGACTAGGGAAGACTTGGGTTGACCAAGTCAAAGCTTGACTTGGTCAACTTAGTTAATTTGACCTAAAGGATTAGTGGATTGAGCCAAGAAGAGTTTGAAATAGATTTAAATTTAATTTGACCCAATAGGGCTTAATGGGTCAACCAGGTTGACCCAAGGCACAGGTCTAAGCCCAATGAGTTGGGTCTGACCCACTGAGTCCAGGGAGGTTAGAATTGGGCTCTAGAAGCTCTGAAGTTGATTTGAAATCAAGGGGAAGAACTTGGGTCAATTTGGGTCAACTCAGGTTGACCTGGTCAACCATGTTGACCCAGGGCCTTGGTCTGGGCTCAACAGACTTAGCTTGACCCTCTGAATTTATTGGATGGGTCTCAGGGCCTGGTCTGGTCAATTTGACCTGGTTAACCCTCTTGACCAAAGGTTTGATAAAATTAAGGTCAACACCCCTCAACTTACACCAATTTCCACATTTACCTACACATATTTCAAAAAATATTTAAAACAATTTTAATTTCCAAAATCAACATAACAATTCATATGAAATGAGAAGGCACAATAAACATATATATTTACACAATCGACAATAACCAGAAAGAATTCTTTAAACAAATAATAATATATATGTTCCATAATTAGAATAATATATGAAATCCACAATCAAATGTTACAAATATACCAAATAGTTCTTCAAACAAACAAAATAAATAACAACATTAATCATCCTCCCTATCCTTACTACCCTGCGATTAAGGTTTAGCCTCTTGCTCTTTTTTTCTTCTTACTTTCAGCTCGATATAATCACAGCTCTGCGTGTATCTCATTATAAATATTTTTCATCTCCTCTATCTTTCTTGTCAAGGCAGCAACTTTTTGGCTAACAGTTTCTTCAGCTCCACTAATATCATAAAATATTGTAGTGGATGTACTGTCCTCATAAGAATATCCCTACAAACCTAAGCTATAAATCCTCCCCATCTACCTTCTTCCAATAACATCTGACCACGTGTGATAGATAGAATACTAGGTCAATCCTGAAGATGAACCCTCACTGATAAATTGCTAAAATCATTGCAGAATTAAGGTTTACACATCGACTTAAGTTTGATCCATAGCCATTAAGAATTTTTAAACCTTGAAACCACTGACATATTGATCTTTTTGTTCTAATGTGAACAAATAAGGTGCTTTGGGCTTCATTATTTTGCCATTGTTACTATCTCTATTTTTTTTGTTGGCAGTACTCTTTAATGTCCATTATAGCTTAAGCATTTTTCTTTCACTTGTCTTCAACATCCATAATTGTAATAAAAATGTTGTCGAGAAAGTTGTTCTTAATATGCATAACATCCAGATTATACCTTATCAAATTGTTCAACTGTCAGAGTTCTGTTGACGAAATGAACACACTTCAGAGGGTGAGGGCGCGGACGTCTTGACGAAAGATATGAACAATGCAAAAAATAAGGAAGAAGGGGGAGGCCAATTTTAGTTCCATTTCCAGCAGTTTTTCGGCGGTTCTAACCGCCGAAAAAATTTCACTTAAAAACGGCAGCAAAAATGCCGGTAAAAGTTGCCACCTAAAGAAAATTCCAGCAGAATTTTTGGTAGTTGAGCAGTATTTCAGGCGGTCATTAACCACCAGAAATTCTAACAATTTTGTGTTTAATACCGGCATTTGAACTGTTAGATATAATCGCGGCGGTCAAACCGACGGTAGTTCGAGAAGTCAAATGACCGTCTAAAATACCGCCGGTATTCAGCGAATTCCTATAGTACTCCTTATAATAAATAACTCTGAAAATGAGTGTATTAACAACCACTTCTTCTTATGCTTTTTCTCTAACACCTTTCTAAATGAATGGCTCAAAATGGATTGCCAATTTTCTCTTTAGTCTCTTCATCCTTCAAAGTTTACAATGCATTGAAGATATGAGCAATATCTCTAAATTTCATAAGTTCTATTTCTTGTTAGTACATTATATTATCTACTATATATGGAGAGAAAGGTATCACATGAAACTATGGGGCAATATTGATAACTCCTCGTTCTTCTTAGCCGATGAAAGTCATTTTCTCTAAGTTAAATGGATAATATGAAGAAATGATTGCGAACACTTAGCATCTTTTTTTAATTCATTGGATCTCGATCGCTTCGGGCAACTAATTCTTTGATTTTTTTTTAAACTCTATAGTCTTGCTTGTCTCTCTTACAATTAACTTATTTTTGTTCATCGGACAGTGATGTATGGGCTCCCTACGTTTCTAATATTTGGCTTGGATGACTTCGTGGTGCTTCGATCATGGCTTCTTCTTCTTGTATAATTTGTGGAATTTGTCAGATTCTCCAACTAAGTTGTTCTTGGCCTTATGCTAGCTAGTCCTTTGATTAATGGCCTTTTTCTAAGCCCATAAAATTTTCTTTTAATCTTATTTTATCATAAGGTTTTTGGTTAGTTATTCTCCTCATTTCTCTTTTTAAGTTGTACATGCACATTTTATGTTCAACGCCTTTTAGATCAATATATTTAGTTGTCTTTAAAATTTTCCCAAAAAAAGTTAGAAGCATCCTATAAGAGGATGGCTTTCTGAGTGGTACAAATTCCATCTTACATCTATAACACCCAATAAGTTCCTTGGCCTTGTGATCTTAATGAATTTTTTAGGCCTCGATCTATGAGTTTGATCTCTGGTTTGAAGGAATGCTCATCATCACACTATTAATATTTTAAACACATTAGTTTTTTTATATTTTGCAAGTATTATGGTAATCAGGCAACTTAGATTTTTTTATTGATATTTAGCACAAGAAATAAATATATAATAAAAATAGCAATTTAATGGATATAAAAACTAAATTTTGGTTCAGTAAAATCTCATTCACCGTCCTTTCGAAGGTTTATAACAATGCTATGAGAGCTCATTTAACAAATTAAAGCAACCAGCCTTCTGAAATATCATAACTCGAAAGACGATATTGTTCATGCAACCAGTAACACTAACATACTACCATACATAAAAGTTATTATGAAATAAAATTAAGAAAGAGAAAACATCCAGGTAATCCTAACAAGAGTCACAATACTAATAATATTTAGGATCCAATGCTAATTAACTAGGGATAAACTTCAATAATAGATCTTAAACCAATCGAAGATATTATCTTGTAGTCGCTAAAACCAGCAGCTACAAATAGCTCGCGCCATTCATTCTCGTCTCTTTCCTTTCCTGTGACAAGAATCATCATTTCCAGATCAAATAAAAGTTGTGTCTCCAACGAAGTTTGAGTATTGATGCCTACACCAACTACCATATCGATTACTATCACTTTTCCACCTTTGTCTTTTGGAGGAATCGCTTCCTTGCAACGTTGCAGTATCCTAACGCAATCTTCATCACTCCAATCATGTAATATCCACTGCATGACATTAAAATTTTTAACAACATAATCAAATTACATATAATTATTTTTTTATCATGCTTTGAAATAATGAAAGATGACATTTAATTATAAAGATAATTATCCCAATACAGGTGATTAATCATGAGGCTAATCGTGATAACATTTTAAAGGATTAATATTTATTTTTCTAAATTGGTTTTTATTGATGTAAAACCCTAAACTAGTAATTTATTTTTAAGGCAAATTAAAAACTGTTATGCTATTGCTGTAAGGTTGTAATCAGCAGTTTGTATTAGTTTTTACTGACCTTAAGAAGAGCGACATCAGCAGGCGGGAGCTCAAGAAACATGTCACCACCAACATACTGAATTCCTTCCATCTTCTTTGCTGAGTTCACAACATGTGGCAGATCAAAAACAGTGCATTTCAATCCCGGAAACTCTTTCGCCAATGCAGCCGCCGTCAAGCCGGTTCCACCTCCAACATCCACCAACGTCCCAATTCCATTAAACGCCTCACGTCCGACATGCTTCAAAACATCCATCACAAAAACGGAGTCACAACCCATCCCCTTATTCAACAAATCATTAAGCTCTGGCTGTGCCCCCGTGAGGTCCCAGAATGTCTTCCCATGTGCCATCTCAAAAGGGGTTGTGGAAGTATCCGATATACGAAACCAACGGGAGAGTTGGTGACATGGATCTACAAGGTGGTGGTCGAGCAGAAAGAGAATGAAGGGGGAGGAGCAAGGGCTGCCGGGAAAGGCGGTTGTGAGGAGTTGGGAGACAGGAGAAAGGCCGAAGGCTTCCTCCCCGGAAGGAGTGATGTGGGATTTGAAGATGCCTACGCAGGAGAGGAGGCGCATCATGATGCGGAGGTGGCGGGATTTTGTTTTGGGGATGGAGAGAAAGGAAAGGAGGTCAGAGATTGTTGCCGGCATGCCTTGGCTGTGGATAGCGTCGGGGATGCGGAGTTCAATGGCGCATTTTAGGCACATGGATTTGATATAGCTAAGAGAATGGTTCCATAGAACTGCCTGGGCTTCTAGGATGTCCTGAACCTCGCCGTCGGTATGGTTGATGCTGGCCAACGTCGTCATGCCCTGTTCTACGCCTCCTCTGCCTCCCCCTCAATCGCCCTCAACACTATAATAAATGAACAGAGAACTGCTGCTTCTGCTTGACCAAGCTGTGGATATATAAAGCATGGATGGGCCGTGTTATACAGAATTTTTTTCCCCAAAAAAAAAAAAAATCAGAATAATTTAGCTTATTGAGTCAGAGCAATCAGAATTCTACGCAAATGTTCATTTGATGGAGTTGAACAATTTTTTAATTTAAGTTGGCTTAAAAACGTGATTCACGCTACGTTTATTGTAATTTTGTAAAGTTATTAAAAGATTTTATACGTATTTGTTTAATGAGTTGGAAAATTTGAAATTAAAAAAATTGCTCATAATTGAGCAATTGAAATCACGTGGGCATTATAGTGTATTTTTATAATGTTATCGAGGGTGCCAACTTGAATCCATAATTTTTTATTTCTGTCGAAATTGTCATTGATTTTTCATGTACTTGATTTTATTTTAAACTAATTATTTTTATTTGATTGAAATAATTTATTAATAATTTATTCTTTAAAAATAATTAATTATATTTGTTTTGCATTAACTCAGTATAAATTTTTTTTTTCAGTTTAAATTATTTCTATATAATGAATATGTTAAATTATAATTTTGATTTTAAACTGCAATATCACACATTATTTTTAATATTGGATTATATTGTAAATCATAGAATTCTTGCAACATGTATAATTTAACAAAAATTGTCTATAATCTTTGAGCCCTAAATATCCTAATAATATGTAAATATGACATATGACACTGGACAATCATGGCGGTAGCAATATAGAGAGTTTAACGTCTTAGCTTATTACTAGGACCCAACACACATATATATTAAAGAGGAGCACAAGACTTGTGAAAGACACTGACATTATTTTTGGAAAACTTGGGAAAAGGTACTGACCCAATTAAAATGATTACATTAGCATTTTTATTTTGTTACAAGTGAAGCACTTCCTAAGGTAAAGGCATTGATATTTTGTAAGAAATACATTAGTTGGTTGAAGTTGGGAGAGCCCATTTGCTACCATTTGCAAGAATACAACATAAATTCAAGTGTTGAAGCTAGGTGGCAAAGTTCATGTCGATGGATAGCATTGATCTTATATGTTACTACATGTATTAGCATTATGATCGATGATAGGTGATAAAGTCGGTAGATATCATACTAGTTAGGAAATACTAGTCAAGAAGGATCATAGTCGGAAGGTAGTTAGAAGGATCATAGTCAGGCATTAGTGGTTGGAGGACTATAGTCGAGTGATCGTGGTAAAAAAGACTGTAGTTGGAGGTTGCAAGTCTATTGTTGATGGGCAACAATTGTCGAAAGAAATGTAGTTAGGCGACATTGATTAAAAGGAATGTACTAAGGTGACGATGGTTGGAAGACTGTAGTTGGGTGACGATGCTAAGAAAGACCATAGTTAGGCAATGTTGGTCAAAAGGATTGGAGTTGGCAGACATGATGGTCAGAAGGACTGTAGCTAGATGATGATGGTCGAAACTAAAGTGTTCGGACAATAGAGGTTAAAAGGATCATAGTCGAGCTGTGGAATTGATTGGATTTTGCTTGTTCTTCTTACTTACATATTATTTTGGTCCTCTACATATAATTTACTTTGCGAAGGTGTAAGTCTTGTTCAATGAAAGTGTACGTGCCATGTCAAGTAATAAATAGATGAGAAAAGTATTATTCTCACGAGGGACTTTAAATTATCATAAATTCAATTTAGTAATGAATGAAAGTACTATATTTATCTAGCCAAATGATTTACAATAGGTTTTGCAGATTAAAATAAAAAGCTACAATTACAAAAGATTAATCTAATATTTGTTAAATCTGTGAATCTATGATATTTAAGAACACATGAATGCAAAAGAATGATTTTCTGCCAATTATGGCTTTGAATTAGAGCATAAGTACTCTTCGTCTCTCTGGAGCTCTTTGGAGTATTAGCCAAGATTTCACTTAACTACATTTCTACTATCTCTTTAAGATCCCATAATCGTAACTACTATATGCCTATATTATAGTAGTACTACATTTTAAAGCTTCTAATGATTTTCAAATCATTCATCAAGGCTCTACATCACATGTATAGATCTACAAGGTGGTGGTTGAGTAGAAAGAGAATGAAGGGGGAGGAACAGGGGCTGTCGGGAAAGGCGGTTGTGAGGAGTTGGGAGACAGGAGCAAGGCCGAAGGCTTCCTCCCTGGAACGAGTGATGTGGGATTTGAAGATGCCTACGCAAAAGAGGAGGCGCATCATAATGCAGAGGTGGCGGGATTTTGTTTCGGGGATGGAGATAAAGGAAAGGAGGTCGGAGATTGTTGCCTGCATGCCTTGGCTGAGGATAGCATTGGGGATGCGGAGTTCAATGGCGCATTTTAGGCACATGGATTTGATATAGCTAAGAGAATGGTTCCATAGAACTGCCTGGGCTTCTAGGATGTCAGGAACCTCGCCCTCTCCTAACACTATCATAAATGAACAGAAAATCGCTGCTTCCGCTTGAGCGAGCTGTGGATATATAAAGCATTGATGGGCAGTGCTATACAGAATACTTTTTCCCAAAAAAATATCAGAATAATTTAGCATATTGGGTCATAGCAATGAGAATTCTGCGCGAATGTTCATTTGATGGAGTTGAACAATTTTTTAATTTAAGTTGTCTAAAAAATGCGATTAACGATACGTATATTGTAATTCTGTAAGTTTATTAAAACTTATTATAGGAATTTCTTTAATGAGATCATTTTTTTTTTTTTTGGAAATTTAGGAGCCCAAGCTCATATATTAAAATTCCACTTACAAGAAGAGAAATAAAATCTATAAGAGAAAAATGAACTCCAAAACAAAAGGGAAAAAAGAAACCAAAAAAAAAAAGGGGTTGAAAAGGGGGGGGGGGGGGGGGGGGGGGGGTGAGAATAATGGGACTCAGGAAAGAGAGCACCCAAATACTTCAGTAATCAGCATTCATCCAATTGGCTGGAATAAGGCTTCCACCGACATAACAAAACTTCCCCGGTTGCTGCAAGCTAGCAAAAAGAGACCAAAAGCAGGCACATGGGACATCCAAGGGGAACCACCAGCAAAACCACCAGCAACCATTGAACTCCCAGCTCGTCATTGTCACATCAAAAAATCGACCGGCAAAACAGCACACAAACTCCAGCCACCTGAACCCGAATCAAAAAAAACCAGCAAATTTCCTTTTAAGAAAATCCACATTCTTCTAGTGGTTAACCTTCCCTCGTATAATATCTTTTATAAAGTCAGCCACCGCCAAAGGAGATGAGCAGATGTTAGAGAAACGCCTGTTGTTTCTCTCTCAATATATGATAAACAATACATGCCATGATAGAGAAACAAAAGTTTTTCTCTAACTTAAATGAAGAAAATTCTTATCCAAAAAATCTTAAGCCTGAAACAGATTAGGCCTAAATAGAAACCTTTCAAATAAAGGAATAACCAAAGTAAGAACTGAAAAAGAGAAGTCGCAATAAAAAAACATATGATGATGAGATTCCGGGTTGCTACTACAAAAAGAACATCCAGCATGCACTTGAATCCCTTTCCGATTAAGCATGCCAGCACATTTCAGTTTCTCCAAAATTTCCATACATGCATAACATGCAAATTTAAGAGTAGCTTCCTTATGCAAAATAATTCATACAATTCAACCTCCTCCAAACAAGAATAAAAATGATTAGAAAATTGCTTGAAATTGGGATTATAGGAGCCATCCCAAGCCAAAGCAGGTTGCTCAAGAATGTGAATATTAGCAATGGCCAAGCTGATATGAGATGGTAAGAAATCCGACAACCTCTAATGTCAATTAATGATAAAGTCCCTCACCTTAGCATAGTTAAGTTTAGAATCAGCACAAAGGTCAGCTAACATATTTCCGTTGATCCATGGATCCCAATTAAAAGAGGGCTTACAAAAGGGCCCAACAGTGAATGTGAGAAGAGGTTTGATCGCCTGGGCTTATAGGCAAATCAGTTTCCAAAATTTGGAAGTTTAATTAGGAGAGGGTTTCCAAGGTGATTCAAACATAGCCTTAATCTAGGATCCCGTAATGGAATTATTATTATAAAATCTCCAAATGAAGGTGCAGGCAACCCCATAATAAAAGAATCAAAAGAGACAATGCCAAGGCCACCATTTATTTTATGCTTAGTAATACTGTTCAAAGCAATTAAATGCATTTTCCTTTCAGTTATATTCCCATGTAACAAAAATTTTGAGCAAATCTTTGAAATGAAGGATCGGCAAGCTTTAGGTATAATAGAACCACGAATCCAGTAAGCTATCGTATTAGCAATAGTGAACTTCAGATATTGAAGCCACCCTGCAAAAGAAAGAAACTTAACTTTTCAACCCGCAAGTAGAGTAGAAATTCTTCTCATAAGTGGTTGGAAGTGAGAAAATTTAAGTCTGGAGGAGGAAATAGGAAGTCCAAGGTAGGTGAGATAAGTGCTATTTTGATGAATCCCAAGCATGTCAGAAATAATATCCAAGGAGTTGGAATCTTTTGCAAAAATAATAGAGCTTTTGCTAGGGTTGACATGAAGGTTAGAGGCATTAGCAAAGAAGTTTAAGGCATGTTTAAGAAAGTGCACATTTTCAAAATCTTCCTTCCCAAAGACAAGGAGTTCAGCATACATGAGATGGTTGACCACCGCCCCATTGCAAGAAATACCCTTAAATAAATGGGGTTGAAGGTAGTAAAAGACACCGTCCATTGCAATACAAAACAGCATAGGGGAGAGTGGACATCCATGTCTGAGACCTGAGGAAGATTTGAAAAAAACCTTCCAAGGAATAATTAATACAAACAAAAAAATAGACCTCCGAGATACATCCATTAATTCATTTAATAAAAGGTTCAAGAAAACCTTTAAGTTTTAAATGATGCAACAACAATTCTCTAGATAATGAATTAAAAGCTTTGCGAATGTCTAATTTTTCACAAAAAAGGTTACTACCAGCTTTAAATTCCCTCAACA